TGAGTTAGAAGAAGACATGGAATGAGGGATGTCATTGCGGGCATCACATAGATATTGGCTGAATGGAAAGAATAAGAGAACAATGTTGCCTGTGCTATATTGACCACTCAAAGGCTTTCAGTTATGTTGATCAAGACAAGCTATGGTCAATATTGCTGAGAATGAGTACTCCAGAACATTTAATTGAACTCATGAGGAACCTGTGTATACGCAAGACAGAGTTGTTCAAACAGAACAAGGTAACACTGAATGGTTTAAATTTAGGAAAGGTGTATGCCACGGTTGTATTCTTTCACTATACTTTTTGTTCTGCATGCTGAGCAAATAATCCAATAAACTGTATTATAACAAGAAAAAATGTGGCATCAGAATTCGAGTAAGACTCATTAATAATCTGCGATATGCACACAATGAAACTTTCTTTGCTGAAACCCAAGAGGACTTAAAATATTTACTGATGAAGATAAAGGACCACAGCCTTCAGTATGGGTTATACAAAAAAACACAAATCCTCACCACTGGACTAATAAACAATAACAAGATACAACTTTAAAATTGTCAAAGATTTCATTTTACTCAGATCAATCATCAATATTCATGGAAGTAGTAGTCAAGAAATCAAGTAACATATCACGCTAAACAAAACTTCTGCACAATATCACATTAAAGTAGTCAAGAGCAAAGATGTCAGTTTGAGTACTAAGGTGTGTCTGATCCAAGCCATAGTATATTCAATAACTTCATATGCATGTGAAAGGTAGACAGTGAATAAGGAAGACCTTGGAAGAATTAATGCATTTGAGTTATGGTGTTGGAGGAGAATATTAAAAGTACCATGGACTTCCAAAAGAACAAACATAGTTCTGTTGGGAGAAGTACAGCCAGGATAGCCAGACTCTGTCTCTCATACTCCTAGAGAAGGATGTCATGTTTGGTAAAGTGAAGGGTCAGAGAAAAAGAGGAAGACCCTAAAGAGATGGACTGACATAGTGGCAGCAGCAATGGGCTTAAATGTTGCAACAATGGATTTGTAATGAGGTTGATTAGTAGTGATTTGTAAATGTAGTGGACCAGGAAATGTTTCATTCTGTTGTGCATATTGTCACTATGAGTTGGTATTGACTGGGTTACACCTAACAACAACATCATCAGTTAGACTGACTCAACGGGAATATATATATATTTGTTCTTTCCTATTATATATTACTACGTATTTATTCAAGCATTCTATCAACATATATTATCAAATAATACCTAGATATAATGCCTTAATATAATTATAAAATTCACCCTTGTAGAAAAAATTCAGATCCTTTTGTGGTCTAATTCTTTTAATTGTGAAAACATATACATAGATGGAGTAGCAAGAGGGATAACACAAAAACCATCAAATATATTGAATTCATTGTGTTCATAATCTTACACATGTGTGTATAAAACATAAAATAGAAAAATCATCATACGTACTTTGAATTATAACTCACTAATTACTATCCGCGGGAGAAAGATGAGGCTTTCTACTCCCATAAAGATTTACACCCTCAGAAACCCTGTACAGGGTCGCTATGGGTCGGAACCGACTCGACGGCACTTAACAACAACAACAATTACTATAATTAGCTGTTTTTCTTACTTGTTTCTTTCTTCATATTATATTATTTTATTTTTAATTAATTTGACTTTACTTAGGGTGTGTTTCTGTTTCTATAGAACACGGCCATGGTTTAATCTTTTTTTATTTTGTTTTACTAAACATCACATGTTGTTCTTATGTGCTGTTGAGTCCATTCCAACTCATAGCATGAAGGAGTGGCTGGCTGGTTAGCAGTCCATTGCTCACCCTACAATGCCACATCACATATATATCTTATACTCAATGGCTTCTTATTGACTCATGTATACAGTTTAGCCAACACTTCCTTACACACCATTATGAGCATGTATTCTCTTAACTGTCTGCATTGCCAGTCTTTAAATATTGCTATCTTTCCCTCTTCATTTGATTATTTTTAGATTTTCCTTCTTTGTGTCATTTGTAAACAGTACAGTAATGCCGACTCTACAGATGTGTCCACAGTTATACTTATTAAACCATAAGAAAAATTAAAAACTCTCTCATAGAATTCAAGTATCAGTGATAAGTAAAAGAAAAAATATTGGGAAACAAGCTTTTAATCACTTCATTAAATAACATACAATTGAATTCTATATCAACTATATAGAACACTGAGTCTTAAGAATTTAAAATATTGCCTATTGATTACTTCTATATTTAAAATGAATATTAGCAAATTAAAAGTATAAATTAGCTTCAAAATTGAAGGCCTTATATTATTTGTTCCTTTCAGTAGTTCAAATCTCTTTATATCAAGTAGAGTTTTATAGAAGATAAAAAATTGTATACATTTATACAGAACATGAGAGCTAGGCACACATCCAATTACCAACCATGCTTTTGCTATCCATTGTTCCAAATAATGGACATTATTAACCAAATGGCACTGAAGTAATCAAATGAACTCTCTAACTAAAACTTGCATTTTATTGTCTTTACGTGTTGTGAATTTGGCTTTGACTCATTGATCCAACATAGAGTTTATGAGCATTTTAAACTTTGAGGCATTAGTAAGTATAATCTTTCTTACGAGGACCGGCTTATTAGGTGCCATTGAGTCGGTACCGACTCATAGCAACCTTAAGCACAGCAGAACGAAATACTGCCCGATCCTGGGCCAACCTCACTATCATTGCCACGCTTGAGCCCATTGATGCTGCCACATTGTCAATCCATATCGCTGGGGGTCTTCATCTTTTTCTCTGACCCTCCACCCTACCAAACTTGATATGCTTCTTCAGCGACTATTCCCTCCTGAACAATATGTCTAAAGTATGAGAGACAAAGTTTGGCCATCCTGATCTCCACGGAGCACTCTGGCTGTACTTTTACCAACACGGATCTATTGGTTCTATTGACAGCCCACAGCACTTTCTATATTCTCTTCCAACACTGTAACTCAAAAGCATCAATTCTTTTACAGTCTTCCTTATTCACTGTCCAACTTTCGCATTCATATGAGGTAACTGAAAATACCATGGCTTGGGTCATGCGCTCCTTAGTCTTCAAGCTGACATCTTTGCTTTTCAACACTTAAAACAGGTCTTGTGCAGCAGATTTGCCTATTACAATACATCATTAATTTCTTGACTGTTGCTACCCTGAGTACTGTTAATCCGAGAATGAAGTCCTTGACAACTTCAATCTTTTCTCCATTGATAAGAATGTTGTTTATTGGTACAGTGGTAAGGATTTTTGTTTTCTTTACATTGAGAGACATTCCATATAGAAGGCTGTGCTCTTTTATCTTCATCAGAAAATATTTTAAGTCCTCTTCACTTTCAACAAGGTCAACTGTTCAAACCAATCGTCCACTCCATGGAAACTCTATACATGGTTGCTATAAGTCAGAACTGAACAACAGTAACATGAACAACAATACAATATGACCTGCAGGCTTGACATTTGTCACCCTTCCCTCTGCAAGGTTGCTTTGAGTCGGAATGAACTCAAAAGCACTTAACAACAACTATGTGAAAAGTCTCATCCTTGGGTGATGCAAACATTTATTGAACTCAGCTGCTAACTGAAAAGTTGGAGGTTCCTGTCCACCCAAAGGAACTTTGGAAAAAAAAAACTGGAAGTCTCCTTCTTAAAAATCAGCCATTGAATCCCTGTGGAACCCAGCTCTATTCTGACTCACATGGGGTCACCATGAGTTAGAACTGACTCACAGCAATTGTTTTTGGTTGGTTGATTTGTTTCATGTGCCAGTTATTGGGCTTGAGGGACAGAATCTTGTAAAGAGTTGGATTTCTCTGAAATTTCTATCTAATAAGATAGTTAAAGATTTGCAACCTTGGAAATCCTGTGCAGGGTCACTATGAGTCAGAACCGACTCCATGGTATTTAACAACTACAACAATAACGAGTCCCCCTATAGTAAGAGAGTTGATGATTCAAACCCACCTTCTAGTGCATGGAAACCTTATGTAAGGTTGCTATGAGTCAGAATTGACTCAGAGGTACTCAACAATAACAAGATAGAGAAGTTAAGGAATGATATAATAAGGAAATGCAAAGGATTTATTAAATAATAGATATGTGATTCTTACATTAGCCCAAATCTAGCTACACACCCACAGTCCTGAAGTTGATTCCGATCCAATGCAACTCTATGCTGTTGTTAATTGCAGTGGAGTCAATTCCAACTCTTAAACACCCTGTATAGGATTTTTCAGACTGTACATCTTTGCAGAACAGAAAGCCTCATTTTCTTCCCACAGAGTGGCTGGTGGGCTCCAAATGACAACCTTGTGGCTTGCAGTACAGACTTATAGCACAGAGCAACCACATTCCCTAGCAGTCCTATTATTGCTATTGTTGTTATGTGTAATCACATTGGTTTCAAATTAAAGTATAGGATATCTGAGACTGTAAAGTTTATTGGAAACAAGCAACCTGATCTTACTCATAAGGAGTAGCTGGTAGGCTTGAGCAGACAACAGGTTACAGTAAGGAT